CCCCAAAACCCCAAAACCCCAAAACCCCAAAACCCCGCTTAATGTTAAATTTTTTGCACAAAAATGGAGAAACAGGAATTGAAAGGACCTCTTGGATCGATTAAGGACTTACTCAGGCCGCTCACACAAGAAGACAACCCAATATTACAGTTTAAAAGTATTTTTATTTAATAAATACAGTTCGAAAACCTTTATTTAAGAATCCACTGAAGCAGATTGATTTCTCATCTGAATACCAGATAACACTTTCTCCGATTGTGAAGGATGGAAAGAAGTACATAGATATACATATCCTGCAGATAGCAGACAGGAACACACGAAGATACCTCGAAAGTGTCTTAATCGGGTATGTACCTGTAAAATATGTCAGTAAGTCTTGCCTCAAATTTGCGCATTTTTGGGCAAATTATCTATTTGGAAAATATTTAATATTTTGCAGAATTTTTGAATACCAATAAAAATCTGATCAAGAAGACCTTATTTGACTGGAAAAGTGAGGTTCTTACTATTGAGTTTAACCATGGTGTCAAAGGAGAGATTACCCAAGCTATTGAAATTGACATTAAGAAGCAAGAGGAAGATAAAGAGATAGATACTGATGACATTGAAAGAAGCAATAAGAAATATCTTGATGTTGTTGAAAGAATCCTAAAATCTTCTCAGGCCTATCCCATGCTGTTCAATGCTGAGGAGATTGATATAATAGATACATTTACTGACTCTGATCATCTTAAGAAAGTCCTCATTTCGAGGATGTTCTTCCGGAAGAGAGTTTTCTTTAATCTTGATCATATCAAATCCTACAGCCACAGCGAGGATGAACTAAAATTTGCTATAAAGGAGATGAAACAATCAAGACTGATTGAAACTGGCGAAAAAATCTTGCTAAATCCTCGTGGCATAAAGATATTTCTTGGTAAATTACCTTATGACACATAGATTCCTTAACAATTGCTGAGTTAAAGCCATTGGCTAAGAATATAGTCAAAAATTTTAAGTGTTTTGTTCCGATTCCAAAAGAAATCCTTTCTAAATTGTCGTGATTCCATGGCCCAATTTCCAAAATTGAGAAGTATATCATTGATGAGGAAGGATCAGATGATCTGATCCAAGGTATCTTATGCCAAGAATTTACACTCTAGAGTTCAAGAAAATTGACTTTGAAATATGGTTTCGAAACAAAAGTCAGAAAAACAAACTCATCATGGTCATCATAGAACGTATTGAAGCATATAAGAGAAGTGAGCAAACAGAGGTAAAGAAGAAATCGAAGAAGGCCACTCTTCATGCATTTTTTAAAGGGAATTCAGAATTAGTCAAGAAAGTTAAGAAGGAATGTGTCATTTTGAAAACTCTCCAGCAGTCTATTCCTGAGTTCTTCTCGATTTCGTACTCTTTAAGAACGATTTTGTTTAAATGAGCTAAGCTTTTCTGTTCTTTTCAGAGTTCTGATCCAAGAAGTACCCTGCTCAATGAAAATTATATAAGTGAAGAATATGCTGAGTATGATAATTATTTATGAATGAAACTTGAGCATCCTCTGAAGCTCACACAAGCTGAGTTCAAGTATCTGAGACCTCTTTTCAAAGATACACAAGCTTATGATAGTTACATCAATATGGGTAGGTTTCGGTACGCTATTTCAAGCATTATCGATCTTGAATACCCAAAAGAAATAACTAATCGATTATAATCAAGACAGTTTCGATCTTGATTTTGAAAAATATGAAATTTATCAAAAATTCATGAGAGCTGGCTGATGAGAAGATTGATAGTTCTATATGTGAGAAATCTTCTACACTACTAAAGACTTCTCTATTTCATGACACTTCTGAATATTACAGGGAGAACTCGGAAAAGTTGTTCTTCAGTCGCTTCGCTCCTGAGTCATACAACCCATGGATTCTTGATACATGTGTAGAGTATCTGGAGAAAATCAAAGAGTACAAATTTGCAATCATGCTGCTCTTGTGCCTTGTCCAGACCAGTAAGAGAACTTCTCGAAGGGATAAATGGATACATCGGCTGGGCCTAGACTGTAAGCATATCAAAGAGTTTGTACTATCCTACTGTATTTGACTCAAAGCTCTTACAGATGTGCCTCCAGGATGTTCTCTCGAGAATCCTTCATATTGTTATTTGAAGAATTCCATCCTCATCACAAAGAACAGCTTGCAGAAGAAGTTAGAAAAGTTGTATCGTGACAGATCAAAGTTTATGATTAATCTAACTAAGAAATTGAAAAACAAGAACATTTCAAAGCGCATGCCAAAGCAAGAATTTGAGCAGAAGGTTGAAGAGTATGACCAAGAATTTAACCAAAAGGTTCAGTACATTCAACTCCTCGATATTGAGCATCTCTTTACATCACAGAAAGAACTTAATAAAATTCCTTCTGGAATAACCGAGTATGTTCTTGAAAAAGAATACGATAGCGAGTATTTCTCTGAAGTAACTTTGTCGTGAAAGAAGATGACCAATCTTGGGGATGAGCACAATACTGCTAAGTATCGCAACCCCAAGACTAATGAGATATTTAGCGTGGAAGATCTAGCACTTCACTATTACCACACTAAGGAAGGATATGATGGGATCCACTCAGAAAACAGGCTTGGAATGGTACTTTTTGGATTGTTCCTGTGGAAACAAATCTTTGACGACACAATTCCAGGAGTTTTCCAAACTCCTTATCAGAGAGGCCCTCTCGATTTTGGTTCGAAAGAGTTCTTTTACAGGAGAGAAGCAAAAATCACACAGAGACTTGATGAAATTTGCAAAATGGGAGATGAAGACATTGAAGATCAGATCAATACTCTCTGGGATAGTTACAATGGGACTATTAATTGTATTATAGAATGGGACTCAATCAAGTTTTCGAAAATTAAATTAATCGATATTTCTAAGTGACTTGGAGGCAAGAATATTAGCCATATTTTACTCAAATATGCATATGATTGTAAGAAACCATATCTTTAATTATATAGGGAGAAGCTGGAGCCATGGACTACCTGACTTGTTCTTGTGGAATATTGATACTAAATAGAGCTAAATTTTCTGAAATCAAATCAGAAACTGATCGACTCTCAGATATCCAAAAAGCTTGGATAGCATACTTAAGCAAAGGTGGGATTAAAATTGAAGTATGCTACCTCCTTTCTAATTCTCAAGAAGCACTCAATCCTTTTTAAATAAGCTGGGGTTTTGGGGTTTTGGGGTTTTGGGGTTTTGGGG